ATTCGCCAACCTCGAGAGCAGAGACTCTGAGAATGCTTTGGCGATAGCAGCACAGAGAGGTTGGAAGGTGAACCATTTTGATGTAGATGTCGCCTACCTGAACTCAGATCTCAAGGAGGAGTTGTACATGCTTCCTCCTCCAGGGTTTGAAGTCAGTGAGCCAGGCGTCGTGTAGCGGTTGCACAAATCCATCTATGGATTACGTCAATCTGCCAGGAATTGGAATATGTGTCTACATGAAGCCTTAGAGGAGCTAGGTTTTAAGAGATCTCTTGCAGACAGTTGTCTTTACATTAGAGGTTCAGGCTTAAAACAGCAAGTGGTGCAGGTGTTTGTTGATGATATCTTGGCAATGGCACAGACAGGTGAACAGGTGGAGAAGTTTGCTAAAGAGCTTGGAAAACGGTTCAAGCTGAAGCAGCTTGGAGATGTCAAGTCTTACCTAGGCGTCCAGATAGCGAGGACTGAGGATGGTAGTTTTTTGCTTTGCCAGAAAGGTAAGATTGAACAGTTGCTTGAGAAGTTTAGGATGAGTGATTGTGCAGGAGTGAGAAGTCCTATGGAGACTAGTTTTGTGAAGGACAGTCAGCAAGTAGAACGCGCTGCGTTCGAAAATACTGAAGTGTTTCAGTCAGCTCTAGGGAGTCTGTTGTATTTGTCCCAGTGGAGCAGACCAGACATAGCATTTGCTGTCAATCTGCTCAGTAGAGAGGCTGCAAGTCCTAGTGTACAAGCCTGGAATGGCATCAAGAGAGTTCTGAGGTATTTGCAGGAAACCAAAGACTTTTGTCTTAGGTTGTCAGCTCAAGGAGAAGTCAAACTGACTTGCTTTGTGGACTCGGATTGGGCTAACTCTGAGGATCGCAAATCAGTATCAGGTCTAGTGATGAAGTTTGGGGACTCAGTAGTTGGGTGGAGGTCCCGGAAGCAAAGTCTCATAGCGCTTTCGTCTACTGAAGCTGAGTTCAGTGCGCTATCAGATGCTTGCAGAGAGCTGGAGTTCTATGTGTGTTTGAATCAACCATGCCTTAAATTAGCTGAGACGGGGCAATTCAAGGCGAGGACGAAACATTTGGACATACGTTTTCAAAATGTGTGTCAGAGCGTTCGAGAGGGGCTAGTTGCTCTGAAATACTGTCCCTCAACCAAGAACCTCGCTGATGGTTTCACAAAACCATTGACCTTCCAGAAGCACGAGGAGTTCTGTGAGGGTCTGTGTATGGGGAAAGCATTGTTGGCTATTGTCCCCAGATGCAGGACAAGAGGGGGTGTGGAGTTTGGAACTGGCAGGGTTAAAACTCCGTGGTGCCCTGTATCTGGGAGGAGCTCTGGGAGGAGCTTGATGCAGGGAAATGCGTCACAGTGTGTGTCTGTGTTCAGTTCTACTTTCACTTCTGACTGAGACAGACACAGCTCAGCTCAGAGGAGCTGTGAGGGTGCTTTTGGAAGCACGGAGAATGGCTGAAGTTTCCGATGGATGTTAATGGATTTATTGCCTTGTAAATAAACGCTTCTAAAGATAAGAACCGATCTGCCTATGGACTTGATTTATCCCTTTCTCACATGGACTCAGGACCGCTGCATTACTCTGCTAGGCCAGCTCAGAGCTTCCAGGGATACGGAGCTGAACTGGGAAGCTTGCTGGACCCAATATTCCGGACGGGGATTTTATTTTCACCCCCAGATTTTATACCAGGTCAGAATATTTGTCCGTCTAGAACAGTATTGCTTGCTCCTACTGGTATCAGCTCTGCAGGGTTGGAGGTAGAGAACGGTCTTTCATATCACTTACTCCTGGTCCTTTTGACTGCAGGTTCTGGTGACCTTCTGCACATAAAGCAAGCGTTCTAGTGCTGTGTTAAAGAGCTGCCTTGCCAGATTTATTTCTCTTTGAATGAGAGCAGTGGAGACATATGACATATTGCAGCAATTGATTTGTTTACAGATAACAGGGCAGAGCGTAAGTGGAAGCAAAGAGTGCTCCTAAAAGGCAGCAAAGCATCAGAGAAAGGGCCCACACTCCAAAATGCTTCGGCTACAGCCAATTGATAGCGCTCTCTCTTTCTGGCTGGGTACACAGCATACATTTAAAGCACATTGATCTTCCCGAATCAAGGCTTACAGTATCCCAGAAGCAGAAATGGTAACTCTGGGACTGTCCCTGGAAAATAGGGACGCCTGGAGGGGCTGGTTGCTGCAGGTGTCACTTGTTTAACTTAAGCCACCTTCATAGATTTAAAGCATTTTAAACAGTTAATGGCTTTCCCAAAGAACCCTGGGAACTATTATTTGTTAAGGGTGGTGAGCGCTGTTAGGAAACCCCCATTCCTCTCAGACAGCTACAATTCCCAGAGTCCATGCAAAGAGGGATTGATTATCAATCCACTCTGGAACTGTGGCTCTGGGCATGGAATAGGGGATCTCATTAACAAAACTCTAGCTCCCAGAATTATTTAGGGGGAACTACAAACGTTTAATGGGGACGCGGGTGGAGCTGTGGGTTAAACCACAGAGCCTAGGACTTGCCGATCAGAAGGTTGGCAGTTCGAATCCCCGCGATGGGGTGAGCCGCCCGTTGCTTGGTCCCTGCTCCTGCCAACCTAGCAGTTCGAAAGCACATCAAGTGCAAGTAGATAAATAGGTACCGTACCGGCAGGAAGGTAAACAGTGTTTCCATGTGCTGCTCTGGTTCGCCAGAAGCGGCTTAGGCATGCTGGCCACATGACCTGTACACCGGCTCCCTCGGCCAATAAAGCGAGATGAGCGCCACAACCCCAGAGTCAAACACGACTGGACCTAATGGTCAGGGGTCCCTTTACCTTTACCTTTACAAGTGTTTAAAGCGGAACAGTAGTTTCTTCTTCTTTCTTCCTTTCTTCCTTCTTCCTTTCTTCCTTTCTTTAAAATCTTTATTGAAAATTCAAAAAGCACATAATTATATGTGCACTAAACATGGTGAGACATAAATAAAAGAGAAAAGAAGAAGAAGAGAAACAGGACCCGTGCAGAAGTGAAAATAAAGGGTGGAGGGGGAAAAACCAAAAACTGTATATTTTACAAAGTTGTTATTGTACTTCACCAGATTTTAACCTATTACACAATTTGTAATAATGGATTCCAAATATCATTGAATTTGTCCATGGCAAGTCTGCGTTTATATGCAAGTTGTGCGTATGTTGTGAGTTTGTATAAGTCTTCAATCCAATCGTAGAAGGGAGCCACATTTTTATTTTTCCAATTCATCAGTATCAGTCTTTTTGCTATAGTAAGGGCAAGGAGAGTCCACTCATATTGTCCTTTTGTAAGGTTCCATGTGCTGGGTATATAATTCAAGAGGGTATTTTGCTCTGTAAATGTAAGGTTGTTCCATACAGTTCTGTTAATAGTTTCAGTTACCTTCTGCCAAAAAGCTTTCAATATAGGACAATGAAAGGACATATGTTTTAGAGAAGCATTACCCCTGTTACATCTCCAATGGTTCGATACCTTAGATAGTTCTTAGATAGGTAGTTCTTTGTGAACGAGGCCGTATGGCTCAGGTCATCCTATTTGCCTGCAAATGCAAGCAAAGAGCAGCTGTTGTTTTTTCAGTGTCTTAGCACAGGTGTGTCACAAGATCCTATTTGCATCCTGGCAGTAAGGAGATCCAGAAGGCACAGTTAATTTATGGACTCAGTTGTGCTGACAACGTCCCTATGCACAGAGTGGAAACCAAGCAACAACACGCGCTGCCGCAGGCCTCGGAATGGAAATGCCAGCAGATGATACCATTGACAGTGTGCCAGTGGGCATCAACGTTAACATATAAATTGCTACTGTTTCTGAAAGCATTCATCAGCTGTCTGGCAGGGGACTTGATAAGAAGAGGGTCGATGACATGAGAGCCACAAAGAAAAAGAGGCACCCTCTTGTCACACTGATGTTAGAGAGTAACTCAGAGCTGGAAAGCAGCCCTGTATCAATTATTAAGGGCATATAGAGTTCGACATCAGTGCAAGCTAGCACAGGAAATACATCTATAGTCATATGCAAAACAGAAGCTCAGCTCTATTAAACCACAATGATCATTTCATAACCCTACCTGCTCTGAGGTCACATCTGTACCATACATTTAAAGCACATGACTCTCCTCCCGACACCCAAGAATCTTGGGAACTGTAGTTTAAGGGTGCTGGGAATTACCCCTCAGAAAGGCACAAACTGCAGTCCTCAGGGGACTTGGGGTAGGGAGCCACATGCTTTAAATGTATGGTGTGGATGTCTCCTACATCCCAATCTCCTACACCCCCATTTTGATTGTGTGATACTGCTAATGCCAAGGTTTCAGGTTCATTCCCTGTATGGGACCACTGCATATTCCTCCATTGCAGGGAGTTGGGCTCAGTGATCCTCAGGGTCTCTTCCAACTCTATGATTGTTTAAAGCTTCAATTCTATGCATACATCTTGTGAGTAAATGACAATGTGGAAGTTACTCCACAGTAGCTGTGCACAGGATTAGAATGTAAGTATTTGTGCGGGGTGCGGGAGCAGGGTTTCAGATATGCATTGTGAAAGTCACTATGGCGAATGTCAGAGCAAGAATGGGAGACCAGTATTCCTCTGGATGTTGCTGGAATATTTAACTTCCATCATCTCTGACTATTGGCCAAATTTAGAATTAGTTGTCTCTGCCTGTCGGAGGGATCCCTGCCTTTTGCCCACCAGTTCCCAGGCACTACATCTATAACATCTGGAGCGTCTCAGGTTCCTCACATCTGATTTAGGCTATAAGTATGACTTTCCTCAAAAGTGTAAATGAGATTGAGAGAAGCTGAGTCCCCCATCTCTGAGATGGACTAAATCATGTCTCAAATTGGCTACTGTGACACAACTGTAAAGGCTCCTCATCTCTTGCTATTTTTTTAAAATAAAAAACTCTTTAAAATATAAAACAAAACAGTACAACAACTTTCATTTTGCTAACACTTTATTTTTTCATATTAAAGCAAGCATAAGAACTATTACCAAATAACCGAAACATTGTCTTATGTAGATGAATTTGCCATTTTATTCTAATGAATGGTCTAAATGGTAAGAGTCAGTATAACCTGAGTGTTTTTGCTTTTAATAAGCCTTTGGGTTAGGGTAATTGTTGTCATATGCTCAGAAACCTGGAAAGGGAAATTTAATAGGCGAGAACATGAAACAATTGTTAGCCTCGTATTCAACACAGCATTTATTATCAAGGCTGACGAAACATTAGACACACATTTTAAACAGTGTAGTGTTCTCTAGAAGTTGTTGGATCACAACTCCCATCAGTCGCAGCAAACATTGCCAATGGTAATAAAATGATGGGTGTTGTAGTCTAACAATATCTGGACAGTACGACATTGGCTACCCCTGCCTTACGCTGTTTTGTTTTTTAAAGAAATCAAAACCAAAACTCATCACCACCACTGCTCCTAGTGCTTGTTCTGTCCCGGCCTTTTAGCCTCAGCACATCCATGACACTTCGAGCATAGACGTCGCGCAAATTAACATTGACGGTGCAATCGCTGGACATGTTTTTTGTGAGCTTCTTTAAGGCTTCACGCTGCCGGAGAGCAGCTTCCTTAATCTTCAGCGTGAAGTAACAAGCAGAAAAGCGGTCATTGATGATGGCTATTGGCAAAGCCAGAACGAGAATTCCTGACAATATACACACGAATGCCACTATCTTGCCGATGGTTGTGTCCGGCCTAATGTCTCCGTAGCCAACTGTCGTCATGGATGTCGTAGCCCACCACCAAGCACAGGGCACACTTGTGAAGGTTGTGCCATGGACACCTTGCTCGACAAAGAACTCCACGGTGGAGAAGATGGAGATGCCAACAGAGAGGAAAAGCAGGAGCATGCCGACCTCTTCGTAGCACTGGGCAATGGTCATGCCCAGGGACCGCAAACCTGCAACACAATAGAGGATTTCAGTTCAGGTCACAGACTCCATCAGTGGTGGCTGGTGCCCCCTTCTCAGGGGTTGGACTGAGGAGGAATGGTGGGGACGACCCCCCCCTTCTCCTGAACCTTCCGAAGAACAGGACATTATAGATTTAGAACAGTGGTTTGCAGAAGGGCATAGTTCAGAGGCTGCAGAGGGAAGAAGCTAGGAAATTTTGGAAGAGGAACAGCAGGAAGGAGCAGCACCAGGGGAGATACCGCTGACAGACTCAGTGTCTTTGGAAAGCATTCCTGACCTCCCCTCTCCCAGGACCAGGCGTGCACTGAGGGTAGTAGAACAGAAAGCTCAGAGGCAGAAAGCTCACATTAGGTGTGATGTACAATAGAAGAGAGGGAGGGGGTGGGACTTTACTTGGAGCAATGGCATTATCCTAGTTAGAATGCATTCCTTCAGCTCTCTGTGCATAGGGAATAAATTACTTGGTAAGAAACGTTTTTTGTTTATCTGCTTATTGGCTGCCACTAGTGGGAAGGATAGACGATAGGATTCCCTGAATCCTGACGCCCCTGGGACTTGTAGGGTGGATGACTGGGATGCCAATGGTAGGTGGAACCTGCATCAATGACAGCTGAGCCCCATAATTCTAGTTTTGTCCCCATTCTCCTCCCTGCTGCAAGGGCAATAGTAAGACATGCTAAACAGGACCAGTAATGGAGTGGGATAGAGAGGCCTTGAGCAAAGCTGTGGTCATGTGAACTCCTGCCTTCTGAGCAGTACAGGTTGAACTAAAGCCCACTTGGACACTTCCCACATCCAACTTGGCAGGGAGAACAGTCCCTGGTACAAATATTTCCCTAGGTTTGAGGTGGCTCAGAGGCCAAATGCAGCTCTCTAGGTCTTTCTATTGGGCCCTCAAAACTCTCCCTAGGGCCCAAGCCTCCTTTCCTGGCTAGACCCTCAGTGTCCCTGCTTTGCATGCTTTTCCGTGGCCCTGACTTCTGATCAAGCCGTTTGCTTGCCTGGATGGAGGATAGAGAGGTGTGCATGCAGAAACTAGCCTACTGTACAAAGGTAACATCTGCATTTATTTATCCACCCCCTTTTGCCTCTGTTCCCACCCACCACTGGCATGTGATCCTCAGGAGAGGATGTAGCCCTTGGGTTGAAAAAGTGCTCTCATCTCACCCAGTATTTATTAGGGGAGGAGGCCCAATATAGCAAAAGAGGAAGGAAAATGCTTTTGGAGAGGTTGGACATGGGGTCTGAATGAATGGAACACTTCTTCCAACAAAGTCAGCCCTGCTATTCTCCTTTAACGGTTAAAACCAAAACAAAACATATTTAGTATCCTTATGTAGCTGGGAATCAACCAGCACTCAGTAGAGTAGAACAATTTCTTCCCATGCCTTGGATGCAGTACTTCTGTGTAACCCATATTAGCATCTGCCCTTTTAAAGCAGCATCACGCTGTTGGCTCATATTTAGTTTGTTGACTCAGGATCCATCTGAGTTCTGCTGAAGTCCTTAAGTAAGTGATACTGCTTACCCAGTCATATCTCCAAATTTTGTACTTGAGAATCATTTCCTGCATGCAAGAGCTGACATTCATCTGATGTACCTCAAATACTAAATGTATATGAAATAATGAATTTTAGAGGTGGATAACTGCCAACTGTATGAGCTCAGGACTATAGCTTTATTATCACCAGCCCTGGCTCCTGCTCCCCAAAAAACCCCTTTCATATCAACTAGCCTCACATCAAAACAAGATTCTGTTCGATTGAGGTACTCCACACAGCTGCAATTTATGTACATGCACATGTAAAAACAGCCTCAACCCTCATATTTTTAGGCTGAAGTCCTATACAGACATCTGGGAGTTAGTCTCATTGAACTTGATGGGGTTCCTTCCAAGCACAAACAGGCTTGCAATGCATAGCACCTAATTTATGTCTCTTGTGAATGCCATTTTAATGGCACATCTCAGTTGTTTAAAATAAAAATTGACTGTTTTCCATCTCAAGCCTTCTCCAAGTTTCTTCAAAGATGGAACAATTCAAGAGCTGGTGATCCATCAGTCTATGTATGGGAGATATGACATAAAAACAATATGCCGTAGTGTCAAGATGTGTCAAGTTAGCACTTTCTATAACTTATGCTAGTCTGACGCAGTAGCAAGTATAACTTGCCTGCAGGAGTGGTATCATGTTTTAACACAATACATGGACTCTTTAACACCAGGATGCATTGTGGGTAGAAGTCCTCACCATAAGAGTTCATTGCCATTTTGCCCCGGCTTGGATACCAGCAAGTTTCTTCTGCCCTTACTCAATCTCCTTATTCCTCATTGTCTCTTTAAATAAATTCTCACCTCACCTCCTATGATGAGTGAAAATTGATTCCAAGGGACCAGCAAGGAAATAGGACTCTCTTATCTTTCATGTCACCTGTGACTAACATAGATCACATATGTTAAAGGTAAAGGTAAAGGTACCCCTGCCCGTACGGGCCAGTCTTGACAGACTCTAGGGTTGTGCGCTCATCTCACTCTAGAGGCTGGGAGCCAGCGCTGTCCGCAGACACTTCCGGGTCACGTGGCCAGCGTGACAAGCTGCATCTGGCAAGCCAGCGCAGCACACGGAACGCCGTTTACCTTCCCGCTAGTAAGCGGTCCCTATTTATCTACTTGCACCTGAGGGTGCTTTCGAACTGCTAGGTTGGCAGGCGCTGGGATCGAGCGACGGGAGCGCACCCCGCCACGGGGATTTGAACCGCCGACCTTTCGATCGGCAAGTCCTAGGCACTGAGGCTTTAACCCACAGCGCCACCCGCGTCCCTATCACATATGTTATATGGACATAAAAGTTTCTCTCCTCTCTCTTTCTTCCTGCAATATGTTACAAACTGGAATGATTCTGAAAATAAAAGAAATTACAGATGCTGGAAGGCCATTGCTTTGTTAACAGTTCAATGATGCTCAGTTTATTTACTGAACCTATTGTTAGGAGGTCGTCTCCTGAAGCTGGCATCTTTTCTGAATTAGATACCCAGAGGTTGGCTGCAATGCTGGAAGTGTGAGAGAGAAATAAATATGTGTTTGAGTGTTTCAGTATCTTTAACAGTTTTACATTGTTTTCTGAGCCTCCTGGAACTTATGAAGCAGCTATATACATTCAGCAAATAAAACAGGTAAAGTAAGTGAAAGGTGAGAGGTTTTTTTGGAAGCCCAAATCAGATGAAAATGGGGGCACAGTTTGGGAGGGTTGCCCTATCTTCTGCCATGTATATATTACAAAATGAAGCCTTCAGTGCTCTGCCAACTAAAGGAAACTGATCTGGGATTTCTCTCCATTTGAGGAAGGGGGGAACATGTTACAACAACAGATTCATCTGAGGCAACATTTGAGCCCATCAGCTGCAAACACAGCCTTGCTGCTATGACTTTCCAATCTGATCTGTTCAAGAATAAAAGAAGTGAGTAGAGTATTATAAATTCAGAATAGCTGTGTTCATATAGGCAACCGCTTCTAGGCAAATGTTAGCAGATATGAATCCAGTTTTATTTTGAATAGCAATGCAATGCTGCTAGCAGGGCATCTCTGACCCTTGCCAGTTTACTCACTGTTGACAATGAAACGGGCAGGCAACCAAATTAGCTTATATAGCACTAATAGGGGGGGTGATGAAAAGGTTAGGAGAAGTGATTAGAGGGAGTTTCTAGCATGACGGTCCAATTAATCTGTGTTGGGGTAATAACATTATTTCTGGACTGTACCACTTCAGGATGCTAACATGATTGGATACTCTTCCACACCCCCCCCACCCAAACAAGTCAAATTCCCCGAACAGAGAAAACTAGATGCTGCAGCGAAGGTTTTAGGAAAGCCTTCTTCCTAACATGTTAGTTTTTCTGCATGTAGGGATTTTTCTTCTGTTGCTGTTGTACGAAGGAGAATTCAGTCATGTAAATCCTGCTGCCCCCTACAACTATTGGTGCAGTTCAGAAACAGGTTTGTTCCTTGTAAGAACTAGGCCTCAGACCAGGGGTGAGGAACCAGTTGCCCTTCAAATGTTGCTGGGTTACAACTCCCATCATCCCTGGCAGAGGCTGATGGGAGTCCATCAACAGCTAGAAGGGTCACAGGCTTCCCACCCTGGTAGCCTAAAAATCATTTGCCTATTCCGCTTCTCAGAACTGTAGGACCTCAGGGCTCAGTTTTCTAGAGGGAGATGTCATCCTGAGGTAAACTGGTCCCCTCTGCTTAATTCTCCCACAATTGTGGGATACAGAAAAGATTCAGTTTCCTGTGGAAAGTGTGGCTTGCTAAGAAGGCACTAGAGCAGGAGACTCTTAATCTGAGAGCTATGGGTCAAGCCCCATGCTGGGTGAAAAATTCCTGCATTGCAGTGGGTTAGACTAGATGGTCCTCATGGTCTCTTCCAACTCTAATGATGGAAGGTCCTAGGAAGGGTACCACAGCTCTGTGGTAGAGCTTCTGTTTTGCATGCAAAAGATCCTTGGTTCAATGCCCAGCATCTCTTGTTAGAAGGATCAAATGGCAGGAAGGACCTCTGCTTTTGATCCTGGAGAGGAACTGCTGGGCAAAGTAGACTATACCGAGGGAGATCGGCAGACAGCATCACCTGGTTTAAGGCAGCTTTCAGACAAGGGACTGTGTCCATCAGAAGGCAGAGGAAGCACTGTTGAAATTAGGCATTGTGGTGACAGAGTAAGTCAATAAACTGAAAGGAATTATGAAATACCTTTTCTCTGGCCACATTCACACCATATATTTAAAGCACTAGGATACTACCAGTGCTTTTCTCTTTCCCTGGGGGCACTCAAGGGTATGCAGTACCAACTCACACACACCCTACACACACACACAAAAGCACTGGATACCACTTTTAAACAGTTATGGCTTCCCCAAAGACTTCTGGGAGCTGTAGTTTGTCAAGGGTGCTGAGAGTTGTTAGGAGACCCCTGTTCCCCATGAAGAATGATGGACTGTTAAACCTATCTGGGATATGTACAGTCACCTGCTTGCCTTGGAAATGATGCTGAGGAAGGCTCTGCCTGGAGTTTGGTGGCTACAAAGTTTAGCTTGCAACATGGGACCAGTCTCCTGTTGTGGGTCTTTGCTCATTTGGAAGTCAGCTTCTCATCTGAGTTTCTTAAAATCACCACCCCCCTTAGGTAGAACCACAAAATAATCAATTTCCCCAAGAGTTTCCTACACCATGTAGATTTACCTGTTGAATGCCGGCCCAACTTCAGCATGCGCAGACCCCTCAGCAGCCTTAACACCTGAACAATACGTCCCATGTTTTCCAGCTCCTGGGAGCTGTGTCTGCCACGCAAGCTCTCCACTACCAGAGTGATGTAGAAGGGCAAAATGGCCAGCAGGTCTATGATGTTTGCTACATTCCGTATGAAGTAGAATTTCTTCTGTGCGCACAGGAAACGCAGGGCAAACTCTCCTGTGAACCAGGCGATACACACATACTCCAGGATGTCAAGGAGGTGTGGTGGCAGCCAGCTCAGTTCTACAGAGATGAGGGCCATGTTGGCAATAGAGATGACGACAAAGGCCATGGAGATGGTGCCAAAAGTCCTGGCAGCGACAGAAGACCCAGGTTTTTCCAATACCTCCCAAAGCTTCTGCCTGAATCTGGGGCAGATGCTCCCGGAGAAGTCCTCTTCCTCTTCCTGGGCATCGAGTGCTTCAGCTTCTTTCTTGATATCCAAGGCTTCACTCAGTTCCTTCCTCCTGAAGTACCTGTGCAAGACAGCGAAGCACAAAATGTGACACTATAAAGGTAAAGGTACCCCTGCCCGTATGGGCCAGTCTTGACAGACTCTAGGGTTGTGCGCCCATCTCACTTAAGAGGCCGGGGGCCAGCGCTGTCCGGAGACACTTCCGGGTCACGTGGCCAGCGTGACAAAGCTGCATCTGGCAAACCAGAGCAGTGCACGGAAACGCCATTTACCTTCCCGCTGGTAAGCGGTCCCTATTTATCTACTTGCACCCGGGGGTGCTTTCGAACTGCTAGGTTGGCAGGCGCTGGGACCGAGCAACGGGAGCGCACCCCGCCGCGGGGATTCGAATCACCAACCTTTCGATCGGCAAGTTCTAGGCACTGAGGCTTTTACCCACAGCGCCACCCGCGTCCCACGTGTGACACTATAGTACATCTGAAATGAATGCAAACACATGTGGCAGCATGTGCACCACCACAATCAACTTCAATTACAAATGCAAAAAGACAGCGGCCACAAACTTCAAGGTGTTCTCTTGTGAACCTCAGAGCTGTAAAGCCGGATGATCAACAAAAGGGACAAACCTAAAATGAACCTCAACTCCTCCGTGCTACACATCAAGTCTGCCTTAAAAACAGGGGTGGCTAACCAGTGGCCCTCCAGGTGTCTTGGACTACAGCTCCCATCAGCTCCAACTAGTATGGCTAATTGGCAGGGCTGATGGGAGTTGTAGCTCATCAACATCCAGAGAGTCACAAGCTAGCCGTCCCTGTTTTAGATCATACATTCATTTAATCCCAAGAGGAACCTGTTTCAAGGTTACACTAGCCAGCCTCAGCCCAGTATACCTGAATGAGTGTCTCCACCCCCATTGTTCAGCTCCGAGGGCCTTCTGATGGTTCCCTCACTGCAAGAAGTGAGGTTACAGGGAACCAGGCAGAGGGCCTTCTCAGTAGTGGCACCTGCCCTGTGGAACGCCCTTCCACCAGATGTCAAGGAAATAAACAACTATCTGACTTTTAGAAGACATCTGAAGGCAGCCCTGGTCTGGGAAAATTTTAATGTTTGAAGTTTTATTCTGTTTAATATTCCATCGGGAGCACCCAGAGTGGCTGGGGAAACCCAGCCAGATGGGTGGGGTATAAATAATAAAGTATTACTACTATTATTGTTGTTGTTTAAATTGGTATAAAGGTAAAGGGACCCCTGACCATTAGGTCCAGTCGTGACCGACTCTGGGGTTGCGGCACCCATCTCACTTTATTGGCCGAGAGAGCCGGCGTACAGCTTCCGGGTCATGTGGCCAGCATGACTAAGATGCTTCTGGTGAACCAGAGCAGGGCACGGAAACACCGTTTACCGTACTTTCCTGCCGGAGCGGTACCTATTTATCTACTTGCACTTTGACGTGCTTTCGGACTGCTAGGTTGGCAGGAGCAGGGATACCCAGTGATTTTTTTCTAGAAAAAACAGTGTTGGAGTTGCCCCCCGCCCCACTTGTCTGCTTTTCTCCCTCCCTCACCCTGCCACCCCCACCCCCTGTGAGCCCTTCTGCAATGGGCCCATCCACAACCCCAACTTCCACCCCCTTTCCAAGTACACAAAAAGGCACCGGGCAACTAAACTGGGTTACTTCAATACCAAACTCAACCACTGCCATAATTTTCTGTCCAGCTGCTTGCCTAGGTAGCAGGAATTCACATCAGTGGCACCCAGGCCACCACCTCATCTTAATTCCCTTCATCTGTGCTTACCTCACCTCTCCCCAACTGCAGAATTAATCTACAATGCCCTCCTGAAGCCTTCCCCAACCCTACTGGATTTGGGTCCATGGCCCCATCAATTACTCACCTGTCTCTGCAGCAAGAGTCAATGCTCAGCTCATCCAGCCCCCAATACTGGATCTCCTGCAGGAAGGAAAGTGCACAGAGCTGATCCATCACGTGCAGCCGGCCCGTCTGGTAATAATTATGGATGTAACTAAATGCCTGAGAGCTCCGATCAAAGAAATATTCATTCTCCACCAAATTGGCATCATCGCAGAGATCCAGGAGGCTGGAGGCAACGTCCCGGGCAGCTGACACCACTACAGCCAGCTTGCCCAGGCGGGTGTCCGGGTAGCAGCACAGCTTTTTCTGGGACAGCACAAAGCGGGCCCCTCCAACATTGACTGTGATGCAGTCCAAGGACGGGGCCACCGGCCGCAGCAAGGTTCCTGGCTCCTCCTCACTGCAGAAGACACTGGACTCCACAGATCCAAAGGACGTGCTCTCACCCAGCTCCTCTCCAGATGCTCCTGAAGAAAGGGACAGGCAGCAAGGAGGGGACTTCATTCTTCAGCTGCCAGAGGCAGCCTTCTCTCTCCTAGAGAAAATGACACATGCAAGTCAAAGAGCCCATGGTGGGGCAAAGCAACAGAACGAACAATTATGCATCGTTGTTTGCAGTTTCCTCAATTCCTCATGCAGCACTTTGTCTGCAAGATCTGCAGTAGCTGCCAATCTGCTACTGGGTCAAGATTTTGGTGCTAACATACAAGGCCCTATGCAGCTCAGATGTAGCCTGCCTGAGAGATCACCTTACCCCCTCACATACCCACCAGATCACTGTGTTCTACAAAAGAGTACCTAATTTCCCAGTAACTCAGATCAGGGCCTTCTCTGTGTCTGCCCCTGTTTTGTGGAACTGCATCCTTGTTGAGATACAACAAACACCCACTATTTGTAGTTTCTGGAAACAGTGGAAGACATTTTTGTTTCAACAAGTCTTTCTGGCTGGATGTTGTGGTTTTTAAATTTCTCTCACCCGTTGATGCTTTTTTTATTGGGTTGCATCCAGTGCTGCAACAGAAGAACCCATTCCTCTCTGCACAGTACAGATTTCAGGATCAGAAGAAATGAAGGGCTTTTTTTTTTTAGGTGAGGGTGTGTGTGTTAGTGCTAGCCACTATGGTTGCAGAAATAAGTAAACAAAGTCTAGTAGGCTATCAAGTTGCTCAGGTTTGAAACTTCTATGTCCTTTCCTATAGTAAATAGAACCAACTGACCACTAACCATAAGGTTTGAGATCCAAATACAGTAGTACCTCGGGTTAAATACTTAATTTGTTCCGGAGGTCCGTTCTTAACCTGAAACTGTTCTAAAACAGTTGAAGCACCACTTTAGCTCATGGGGCCTCCTGCTGCTGCTGCGCCGCCAGAGCACGATTTCTGTTCTTATCCTGAAGCAAAGTTCTTAACCTGAGGTACTATTTCTGGTTTAGCGGAGTCTGTAACCTGAAGCGTATGTAACCTGAAGCATATGTAACCCGAGGTACCACTGTATTTGAAATATATCAATATTGTTCCGTCTTCATAATATAATCCCTCTGGGTATAGAATGTGGAGGGGGTTTTTTTTGCACCAGTTACAGGTTACTCAAAGTCGGTATGGAACCATAAGATACTAGATATGAAAGTAACTTTTTTATGACTAAATGTCCAACACAGCAGGGCAGGTTTAAGCAGAGATGCAGTGACTGGCACAAAACCAGTTTCATGGGAGCTAAGTCCAGCACTCTTTCCACTACTAATAGCAGTGGCTGCCTATGAGCAACCAAGCCAGTTTTAAGGTTCTGCTACTTACATACATAGTCCTAAATAAATCTGGACTAGGTTACCTGAAAAACCATCTTTCTCCCCACTGTAAGGGCACTACAATCAGTGAATGGAACCTGGTTAGATTTCTCACAGCCTGATGATTATTGGGCTTTTTCACTGGCAGCACCAGTGTTGGAGAATGCCCTCACTGCTGAAATACGAGAGGCTCCATCAATATTGGCATTCCGCCGGCCCCTGAAGACACACCTGTTTAAGTACGCAATACCCTAAACTGAACTTCTGATTTTATTGTTTTAACTGTTTTACCAGTTGTGCTAGCTCCTATATTGTACATCCTAATTAAGGATGTTCTAAAGTCCCAATGGAATTGTTACTGTGTATTTTAATTATGTAATGCTTTTATACTTGATTTTATAGTTGTCAACTGCTTGGAAGCCTTTTGGGTGGATAAGCAGTATATAAACAAATAAAGATCAGCGACTCCCATTGCCCATTCACCATACTAGCTGGGGCTGATGGGAGCTGGAGTTCTGCAACATTTGGAGAACCAGAGATTTCCCATTCTGGTCCTTCTACACTACCTGGTTCTCAGCTTGTACAGAATGCTAGAGCCTAGGAGAACAAGGTACCTTACCAGGTGGCTGCTTGCATAACAAAAAATGATGACTGTCCTTCCCGTTATTATTCTGAACCCAAAGCAACTTCTGGGAAATGCTTCACTAAAAGCACAAGTGCAGAGAAGTTGCATGCCATGACATTTAGGGATGGCCACTCACGAGATCTCTTGAAACTGCTTAGCAATCCCTTGCAGTTAAAAAGAAGACAGCTCATTATCACTGATTCTATTGGCCGGCAATCAAAACAATGGCTAATGTACACATTAGGTTTCCTCACTGGAATTTTGTTTAATATGAGGCAGTTTCCTTTTCAACATCTAGGCTGCAATCCTCTGCACACTTATCTAGGAATAAGCCCTATTAAACACAACAGGACTTGCTTCTTCCATGGATTTTTCAATTAACCTTGGCAAGGAACAGGAGCTGCAATTTACATCCGTGGCACTTTAAAAATTAAAACAAATGCGCCAATTAGTCCTTCACTTTCTCTACCCATTCTGTAGATTACACACTGTTCTCTCTTTTTTGAATCATAGAATCATAGAATCATAGAGAGTTGGAAGAGACCACAAGGGCCATCGAGTCCAACCCCCTGCCAAGCAGGAAACACCATCAGAGCACTCCTGACATATGGTTGTCAAGCCTCTGCTTAAAGACCTCCAAAGAAGGAGACTCCACCACACTCCTTGGCAGCAAATTCCACTGTCGAACAGCTCTTACTGTCAGGAAGTTCTTCCTAATGTTTAGGTGGAATCTTCTTTCTTGTAGTTTGGATCCATTGCTCCGTGTCCGCTTCTCTGGAGCAGCAGAAAACAACCTTTCTCCCTCCTCTATGTGACATCCCTTTATATATTTGAACATGGCTATCATATCACCCCTTAACCTCCTCTTCTCCAGGCTAAACATGCCCAGCTCCCTTAGCCGTTCCTCATAAGGCATCGTTTCCAGGCCTTTGATCATTTTGGTTGCCCTCCTCTGGACACGAGTGTGTGTGTGTGTGGGGGGGGTGTTGGTTGGTATGTCCATCGCTTAGTGCAACTTTAGATAGGTAAAGTTAAAGGTACCCCTGACCATTAGGTCCAGTCATAGACGACTCTGGGGTTGCGGTGCTCATCCTGCTCTATAGGCTGAGGGAGCCAGTGTTTGTCCGCAGACAGCTTCCAGGTCATGTGGCCAGCATGACTAAGCCGCTTCTGGCAAACCAGAGCAGCGCACGGAAACGCCGTTTACCTTCCCGTTGGAGTGGTACCTATTTATCTACTTGCACTTGATGTGCTTTTGAACTGCTAGGCGGGCAGGAGCTGGGACCGAACAACGGGAGCTCACCCCGTCGTGGGGATTAGAACCGCTGACCTTCTGATTGGCAAGCCCAAAAGGCTCAGTGATTTAGACCACAGCACCACCTGCGTCCCGTGCAACTTTAGATACTTCATGATTATTAGTGCAACAATGAAAAACTACTTAATAATAAACTGCAGCATCAAATACTATGCAGCAGCAATAATAATAATTAGTGCAGCATTAAATAAATGTGCATTTATATGCTAATAAAATGTGCATTTTAATCAGCATATCCCTTCATCAGTTTATATCACCAGCCTACCAATTCTGTTTTGTTTCTCTAAGAATCTTAAAAATAAGCAACTGGCGAGAACACAGGAAGCTGTCTTACACTGAGTCCGACCTTTCGTCCATCTAGCTTAGCATTCTATGCCAAGTAGCAGCAGCTCTCCAGGGTTTCAGGCAAGGGACACTTCGAACCCTATCTTGAGATGCCAGGAGTTGAATCTCGGAACTTTTGCATGCAAGGCAGATGCTTCACCAGTGAGCTAGAGCCCTTCCCCTAGCTGTGCACAGAATACTAGAGTTTTAATCATAATTACTATTATTCTATAATGCTATAAAGCAATTCACAATATCTTAATTTAATTATCATTACATGCATTTACACCCCACCTTTCCTACAAGGAGTTCAAAGTGCTATACACAGATCACACTGCTTCCCCCATTTTATCCTTACAACAACAACCCTGTAAGGTTAGCCTGAGAGTGTGGGACTGGCATGAGGTCGGAGCATGGATCTCCTTAGTCCAAGTCCAACACTGCCCAAACACCAGGTCAATAATCACCCACCAACATCCCTGTTATAGCTCAGTCAGTAGAGCATGTGACTCTTAATCTCAGGGTTGTGGGTTTGAGCCCCACATTGGGCAAAATATTCCTGCACTAGTCAGCTTTGTGGTCCCTTCCAACTCTACAGTTCTGTGATTCAGGCCCACACTCCTCTGCACGTTTACTTGGAAGCAAGTTCCACTGATTTTAATAAGACTTACTCTGTCTTTGCAAGCACACACAAGATGTCAACACCAAATGGCATTGGATCCATCATTTCGAAACCAAGTGTTAACGCTGAAAACAAGCATATATACATATACATATACATATACATATACATATACATATACATATACATATACATATACACATACACATACACATACACATACACATACACATATACATATACATATACATATACATATACATATAACAAAAACCCAGAGTATGTAAAGATAGATATGCCTGCAATCCCATGCACACTAACCTGCAGGTAAGCCTCATTCAACACAATGACGCTTACTTCCGAGTAAGCATGCATAAGGTTGCTCCGTCGAAGACCCCGCCGAATCCCCGCGAAATAAACCCAAGAAGCGCGACACACGGAAGCAACTCTGATGGATTGACAGGAGCTCACCTATTCCAGCCAGGCATCGCCTTCAAAGGTTCAAGAGCCACGCCCCCTTACCTGCCTCCACTCGTGCTGCTCCGGGCACATCGCAGGGCTACAGCTCTCCGCGCCTTCCCCAGCTGGCGCTCGCCTTTAAGGGCGGAAGGCTCGCCAGCTCCGCGCTTCTCTGCGCACAAGCGCGCTCTGCCGCCGGCGCCTGCAGCTCGCCAACTTCTGGGCAGCGCTTCTTGGTTAGGCGCGTGAGCAGGCGCACGAGCAAATCAGAGCGCAGCTCCGAGGCGACAGCAAGAGAAGGGTGGGGTTCGCCACCCGGGACATCTTTTAAAGACCCTGGAGCGGGAGCCACGTGCTTAGGAAGGAAAAGGGTCTCGCCAGAGCCGAAGAATCCGCAGCCGGCTGCGCGCCTTGCAGAAAAGTTTGTTACCTGAGTACTCGGTAGTTTGGCAGCTCCTTCGCTTGCGTGCTGACTTGGATCCAGACTTGGTCATGCTTGGAGCAGAGACTATTGCATTTAGATCCCACATCTCTTCCAAGGAAGTGTACATGGTTCGTTTCCTCCCCATTTTGTCCTCACAAAAACCTTGTGCGCTGGGTTATGGTGAGAGACTGTGAACAGCCCAAGGTCACCCAGTGAGCTTGAAACCAATAGGAGCCGGCCTTCCTCGTGCACAGAGCTGGCACCAATGAAATCAAAGGGATACAGACTTGGGTTGCTTTCAGACAACATTTATTAGGTATTCATCCTGATTTGTTTGCACAAAGTTTGCTGGGAACTTGACTGTTTATTGAGCTTTTATTCTGATTGGGTTGGGAGATTATAGGATCTCACAGTTGCTGCCCTACACACTGCTTTCATCACTTTCTCTATCACAAAAGTGTGTGGGTTTTATTGGGGGGCGGGGGAGGGAGAGTGGGTTTGCAGTAAAATAGCACCAAATCCCACTTTAATTGTGCAACCTCAAATTTCTTATGGACAGTTGAAGCCCACCTTCAAAATAGTGGCAGTCTGAAAGTGTCCTTAGTCAAGCTTGGTGCTGGCCCATTGAAATGACATTCTTACATCTCCAAATCCAACCCGAGGAGTCCAGTGGAACTTATCTTCTCAAGGAAGAATGCCCAGGATGACAGCCTTGCAGCTTATGAATGATGAATGTTTTCATGGAAGTGAATCTCGCCAAGTTCATTATGAACTTTATGATTGCGATCTGGCAGCAGTTAAAGCTTCCTGCTGTGCTAGTCTAATACCCAAGGATGACAGTCTATGAGAAAGCAACCCTATGCACAAAAAACTGGTGTAAAGCAAACTGGTGTAAATTAATCTGGTGGAAAGTTACATCAGATCAAAATTCCATTCAGCAGTGGGGCTGCTGCTCTGCCTAAGACTGGCAGAGGGAAGGTAAGCAGTGGGTTGTCAGGTCACCTGTCTGTGCTGGAAGGGCATTGGATCCCATACCTGCCTTGCCCCTTTTTGGATTGGGCAGAGCCAGGGCTGGAGACTTAATTCCAGGGGAATCAGCTGACTGATCTGGAGCTCTGCTGCATCCTAAACTGCTCATCCTGGCAGATCTGCCATAGGATTGGCCCTTCAATTATTATAGCACAGAGAGAGAAAGTTCAGCCCTACTTTAATAGACCTTTAATGTTCCTTTCCTCCTCTTGTTTCTTGCCCCTTTTTCTTACCACTAGCACCCTAAAACACAAAACACAAGAGAAATAGTATCTTGATTGCTTCTCAATGACTGCTTCTCATTTAAGACCAATAAACTATCATTAAACATGTGCTATTACTTTTCAGAAGGACAACCCTGTGAGTCTGTTGCAGCAAAAACAACAGCAGCATTAAAAAAGGTAACAAATAACATGGAGCTTTCATGGACTAGAGCAGTGGTTTTCATCCAGTGTGCTGTGGCACCCTGGGGTGCCTTGAATGATGCTCAGGGTGCCGTGGGCAACACTGGCCTCTGTCCTTCTTTCCTTCCCTCTCTCCTCTGATGCCCTCTCAAGTCTCTGCCTCCCAAAGGCTTGCACAGCTGTTTGTTGCAGCAGCCCTGGCTACAAGCTCCGCAGGTGAATGACTTATTTATTTGGTCCACGGGACTCTCTTTAAGCCACACCCCTTCCCAGCCACACAGCTCACCAGGCCTGCTTTGCACCCTGCTTGGGTACTTTGGCCTGACTGGAATGTGTCCCTGAACTCTGATAGTGTCTCTTTGCTTGTCTGGATGGAAGATGGAGATGTACCGGTATGTGTGTAGAAACAAGCCTATAGTTGTTGGCATCTGTCTCTCTATCTTAGGAGATAATGGAGTGTGCCTCTGAGGGTGCAGTCAAACTGCTGTGTTAGCAGCACTGGAGTGATCTCCCTGGAGCGCAAGCCCAGACAGTGTGCATGGAGGTCCTGGGCTGCCCAGAAGACAAGATTTGTGTAGGGTTCACTCCTTAACCTTTGGTTCTCCCAAAGATATCCCGCAAGGTAAAATCAACATTTTTCTTTCTTTCTCTGCCTGCTTTTGCCTCTGGCGGAAGAGGTTACTCAAAGGTTGTCTAGTAGGGAATGTGTCTCAGGCTGAAAAAGTTCCTCTTCTCTGGGACTAGTGTCAAAGTAGACTCAAACCATGCAGCTCTCTCTGGTGTGGTAATGACTAACAGACCTGCACACAGTGGCAGAGGAACCCTTTCCAGCACCTGGGGTGATGCAGCTTGTACGGAATGCGCATGTGCGGTGACTGTATGGGATGCCACACATGCACAGTCTGTACGGGATGCCGCTTGCGTGCAGCGGCCATACGGGATGCCGCTTGCACAGATGCCCGTATGGACGGTGCACAAGAGCTGCAGCCCGTACGGACTGTGCACGCCCTCAGCGGCTCTACAGCCGGGGGAGGCAGGGGCCATCTTGTCACCCCTCCCAGAGTGGCACCCGGGGCGGACTGCCCCCTCTGCCACCCTTCCTCCACCCCTGCCTGTACACCCTGTTTTTCTAAAGTTTTAAAATTCAGCAGCATGCATAACTGAGGCTGCAGTTATTTACCTACGTAGCCAGGAGTGAGTTCCATTAAACTCGGCAGGGCTTACTTTTGAGATGACACGTGCAGGATTTATCTGGCGCAAATATGACAGAACAATTCAAATTTGGATAAACTGTCTTTGAAATTTATGCTTGGATGCAAATTTCAGCTAGGTTACTTCACTGGAAATTCTGTCCCCATTTCAGCTCTGCTCCCTGGTGTTCCCAGGGATCAGACGCGAGAAGGTGCTTCCCTTCCTATCTCTAGAGATAAAAAGAGCATCAGCTGCTACAGTGCTTTACAACTCTCTGGGAGACCCAGAAACATCTGCTCTGCCTTTCTGATTATTCACAGAGGATATAAGCAGATGGTTCATTCATCCCCAAAGCAGAGGACTAAACAAATTCATACCTTAAGTCAGTCAGCAGGAAGCACCACTGACTGATCTTTTTTCAGATAGCTGGAGTTGTCCCTGTGGGATTTTTTCTTTATTTGGGGGGGGGGAATAGACTGTACGCCTGAGCCCCCTTCTCATTCCTGGATCCAGCATGGATTCAATTCCTGGCTAGCTTCCTGGTGAGGTAATGGCCCAAGTATGGGTCATTAAGGTAACAAAGGAAGTGTCTCTGTGCCAGAAACCAAATGGGTTGGCCCCCCTCCCTCAGCTATCTGTTAGTTAGAAAAGCAAAAGCCAGAGTTGAGGTGTGTGAGCTAGAAGTTAGAAGCTGCAGGCTGGGCAGCTGAGAGACAAAGCCATGCCTGTTTTTTTGGAGGGATCCAAGGCTGTGGCTATGGGAGAAGCAAGACCCTCTTGGGTTGTTGATGCTGTGAACCCCTCCACCGTAGGCTCATGTTGTATATATGTGTAAATAAACCATGTATCATAAAGTCATGGCAGTCTCTGCTGTCGCTCGTTCCAAGGAAATTGAACCCTGGGTGAGCGCCTGGAACCCCAGAAAACTCACACAGCTCAGAGATTGGGTGGTGCATAACAATAATTTAACCATTAAGAGTGCACATGTATACATGTCTAGTCTGAACTATGTGGGATGTGACACATAGATAGCAGTCAAGTACAACATTCCTAGAGTGGACATGAAAAGGAATGTTTGCTCCAGTCAGTAGAAAACTTCCTGTTTCCTCCTGAGCTGGGACAAATTTCCTCTGCATGTGACTAGAGGTGGGCGTGACCTTACCTGCCCAGGTACCAGAAGGGGCAAGGCAGGTGCCACCCTCTCTCTTTTCCATCTTGCTTTCAACGAGTGAGCAGCAGTGACTGCCTGTCTGCAGTCCCTGGGACTAACTCCCGTATGGGGTAGTTCCATGTGTATATACTTTGTAACCTAAGTCTCCCTTCAGGGATCCATCTGTGAACTGAATGTGTGAGTAAACTTCTTTTATAATACTTTACAGAAGATTGTGTTGTGCCTATTCTTTTTAAGGGGGAGAAAAGGGGATTACCAGGAATCCTACACTGAGAAGCTTAATCAAGCTTGCAACAAGCTAACCGCTGTGTGTTTAAAAGGGGAATGCACTCTGTTAAGTAAAGGGACTTGCTAACGCAAGTTAGGAGGGATACTATTAAACAATATATCCTCTCCTGCCTCCCTGAACATTCCCACAAACAAAACCCCATAGAGTTGAGTGGGACTTACTCTCCTCGGAAAGTGTGTGTCATGTGCATTGTCCAAAACAAAGTGGGGTTTTTTCCACAAGAAGGCCCCACCTGCAATTTACATTTAAAGCAATATAATAACACTTTTAAGAGTCACAGTTTCACCCAAAGAATCATAGAAACTGTAAGGCTTGTTAAGGATGCCGATTGTTAGGAGACATCTAGCCTCTTTGCAGTGCTATACTTTCCAGTGTTTACTGAAAAGAATTTGTTGAGAATTGAATAATCGGTATTATGTGGCACCTGTAACACTGGCAGTTTTGTAGATTGAAGTGGTCCAGTGGGCATACTTGGGGCCAGGCAATCTCACGGCTAAACTGGTCCCGAATTATTAAGGGCTTTATATACTAATAGTGACACCTTGAACTTGGCCCAGTCACAAATCAGCAGCCCGTGCAAGTTCCCAAGAAAGGGTGTTTTATGCTTCTAAGGCCTCACCTCTGCCAGCAGTCATGCTGCAGCATTCTGCACTAGCTGCAGCTTCTGGATCAAGCATGGTGGAAGAAGAGCAGGATCATGCCCAGTGTCCACA